GCAACTGGCTGCAACCAATTATGTTGGTTGCAGCATCCCATGATCATGTGATTGCAATTTGCAAGCTTCCCTACTGGCTTCTCACAAGCAAAGTAAGAAGACTGCATATTGCTTCTGCAGGTCATTTCCATTCCAAACAAAAATTAAAATAAGCAAGAAAATAGTAAGAGAACACCTATCCGACCTTGACGAATATAAATCACCAGGACCTGACAGATTACATCCCAGAGTTCTAAAGGAGCTGGCAGATGTTATCTCAGAACCATTGCACCATTTCTTTTATAAATCCTGGAGCAACAGGGAAGTACCCTTGGAAAAGGGTTGATGTGGTTCCCATCTTCAAGAAAGGGGAAAAAACGGACCCAGGACCAATCAGTTTAACATCAATACCTGAGAAGATCCTAGAAAAGATAATAAAAAATCAGATCTGCAAACAACTAGAAGCAAACAAAATTATAACTAGTAGCCAGCACGGGTTTGTTAAAAACAGTTCATGCCAAACCAATCTTATTTCATTCTTTGATAAAGTGACTAAACTAGTAAACCAGCAAAATGCTGTGGACATAGCATACTTAGATTTCAGTAAGGCACTTTATAAAGTAGACCACAACCTACTCCTTGGTAAGCTATAAAAAAATGGAATAGACAACATCACCACCAGATGGATTTGTAGCTGGCTGGCAAACCGTACTCAATGAGTAGTCCTCAATGGCACTACATCCACATGAAGAGAAGTAAGTAGTGGGGTACCACAAAGTTCCATCTTAGGCCCAATATCTTCATCAATGACTTAGATGAGGGAATTGAAGGGGAACTCATCAAATTTGCAGATGACACCAAACTGGCAGGAATAGCCAACACCCCAGAAGACAAACTCAGGATCCAAAAAGATCTTTACAAACTTGAACAATGGGCCCTATCCAACAAAATGAGTTTCAATGTGGAGAAAAGCAAAGTTTTACATTTAGGCAGGAAAAATCAAAGGTATAAGTACAGATTGGGCAAAACCTGGCTTAAAAACAGTAACTGTGAGAGGGACTTTGGAGTCTTAGTGGACAATCACTTGATTATGAATCAGTAGTGTGCAGCAGCCGCCAAAAAAGCTAATACAATCCTGGGTTGTATAAACAGACGCATAGAATCAAGATCACGCGAAGTATTAGTACCACTTTATAAAACCCTAGCAAGACCACACCTGGAATACTGCAGCCAATTTTGGTCACCATATCACAAAAAAGATGAGAGTTTGGAAAAAAATTCAGAGAAGAGCAACTAAGATGATTAGAGGCCTGGAGACTAAAACATACGAAGAACATACGAAAAAGGACTTGGGTTTGGCTAGTCTAAAGAAAAGAAGAAATAGGGGAGACATGATAGCAGTATTCCAGTATTTGAGGGGCTGCCACCAAGAAGAGGGGATCACGTTATTCACCAAAGCACCAGAGGGCAGGACAAGAAACAATGGTTGGAAACTGATCAAAGAGAGAAGCAACCTGGAATTAAGGAGAAACTTCCTGACAGTGAGGACAATTAACCAGTGGAACAGCTTGCCTCCAGAAATCGTAGGCACTCCATCACTGGAGATTTTTAAGAAGAGGTTAGACAGTCACTTGTCTGAGATGGTATAGGTCCCTTCCAATTCTATTCTATTCTATTCTATTCTATTCTATTCTATTCTATTCTATTCTATTCTATTCTATTCTATTCTATTCTATTCTATTCTCATTGCTTTTTCATGCACCTGCCCACATTCCATAGCACCTGCCCATGAAGTCTGCCTAGCTTCCCATTTCTAGCTCTTGCCTGATGGCCCCCTTGCCTAGGAATCTTGTCTCTTCTCACACCACAATCCTGTGACATCTTTGTTTAATAATATGGGAGTCTTGGAGTTATGATAGCAACTGGGGGATTGCCATCTCTATGTTATATGGTCATATGACATTTTATGAATGTTTTGCTTAGTGAAGGAAATTATGGCCCCAGCTGCCTTCATAACTCAAGAATTACTGCTAGATTATTCTGCTTTATTGTAGATTTTTATATACAGTACTTCTAAAATGTTCAGCTAATAAATACCTTTTCTTTCTAAGAAATGGCAATCATTTTTTAAGGCAGCCTTCCCCAGTGTGATATCCTCTAGATATTTTGGATTATATTGCCCATCTCATCAATCTAAGCAAGAATGGACAATATTGTGGTATGGTGAAACTTCTAAACAGTTGTTAATCAGAAATAGGCTTTGCCTTGAACCCTGGTTATGTTAGGCTGGCAGGATACAACAGTCTTTATCATAAATGCTACTACAGTTAAGGAAAGGAGACTTATAGATAATCCTTTGTGTGTTATGAAACATAAAAGAAAGCTCAAGAAAGGGAAAAGTCAAAATCTGAATTTAAAGCAAGTAATTTTGATTAATTATAATTTGAACTGTGGTAATATGATGTACAGCTGACTATCTTAAAATGGCTCACAAAAGGACTCCAATATTATAGACAAATTCTCAGTAATTTTTCCAAATGCCATTTTTCCCGTTTTAAATCCCAAAGTAATTAAACTTGGAGTACACCGATTGGAATTACTGGAATTTGTTGGCTATAAATATTTTAAGTTACACCAGTATCAATGTATCTACCCAATCATCACTAATACAGGTCTCACCCATCGTCTTCTTGGTGTCAGATGAATTTTTTTTAAAAAAAAACCATGTAAAAATAATACGTGTTTTTTGTGTCCCATGTCTTGTTTTTAACTAGTTATTTTAGCAGATAACTGGTTTTTAGTATTCTGTTTTTAATATCCTGTTGCTGTATTTAATGATATAGCTCTTCAGTAGCTTCCCAGGTAATTTCTGTAGTGGGATAACAGAATCAATAAATAAGGGAATACAGAAATTTAACAAGGACTCCTGATATAAACTCATAACAAGGAAGGGAGAAAACAGTATACTTAGAAATTAGGAAAAGTGAAGACAAGAAATGAACGGTGATGTACTGTCACAGCATCAGTGTGAATAAGCAAAGGACATATTTTGTGCTAAATAATACAAGAGATATTCCTATAACAGATTGTCCAAAGAAGGCTTTAGTCTCTTTACAGATAATATTTTTGGACTGGACAGAATACTCTGTAGATTTCCCAGTCTTTTCCATATTAATATTTCTCCAGTAGCCCAAAGGCCTTCAGATGATGCTGTGAGTAACATGATTGCCTATTGTGTCATGCTGAGAAATGATGATTCATATTGCCCAGTGCCAAGCTGGTCCTTGATGCCAAGAGCTCTTGGTAATCATTGTAAATAGCTGACAGTTGGATAATTGCCTGCTTTGTAGTTTACTCCATCTGATCCTTTGAAATCAGTGCTATGGGTTCTTTTTAACTACTGAGATGTAGAAATGAGCATATGGGAACTAAAGAGAGGAAATTAATTACTGTTCAATTATTTGTAGTATTTGTTAATATGTAGGAAACATGCAACCAATGAATATAGCCAGGTTCAGCTATTGGAGTATTATAATGGTGTAAACTAGCAATTGTCAGGTGTTCATTAATGTCAACATACATAGAATTCTTAAGTGGATCAATGTTTACTCATTCCTAACCTAGAGAGAGAGAAGGAAGCTTCAAACTGGAGTAAATCTATGCCTTGTCATAAGTGAGGAATCTTGATCTCAACTTTATGGTTGCTCTTTAAGGGTCTTCTCTAGCTGGAGTCCGCAACCCTGGGTCGCAACCCCCTACTGGGCCTTGAGCTGTTCAGAACTGGGCTTTTGAAATTGTGAGCAAGTGCACGCGTGTGCGCATCCCTACTTGCATGAGCAGTGGGTCAGTGCGTACACGTGTGCTCAATTTGCGTGAATGGTGGGCTTCAAACCATCCTCTCTTCCCCTCCCACTGGTCTGTAAAGCCGGAAAGATTGGGGAACTCTGTTATATAGCCATTCTTGACATTAGGTTATGCTTATAAGAGAGCTGATATTGAGCAAAAATATGAACTTGTCTTTCTAAATTTAATAATTGTAATAAATGCAATTGAAAGAGCAATTCTAAAAATATGTTTATGTCCAATGTATGTGTGTGTGTATACATACATACATACACACACACACACATACATACATATATACATATATGTATATGTATACATATATGTATGTATGTATACATATATGTATGTATGTATACATATATGTATACACATATATGTATATATATATAACTTTTATTTTATACCCTCATTCTTCTCATAGGGCATTCAAAATAGCTCATTAAAGAATTCTCATCAATTGTTATAAATTGATTAAAAATTCTATACATCTGCCACTGCTAATAAATAATTGTGCTTCACATAAAAGCCTGAAATGGGTATTAATAATTTCCTACCACTAGGAAAATGACAGCTGAATTTTTAAAAACACGTTCAACTAAATTTATGAGATTGACTAATTGTGGATGTTACTTAGTAAGATCTGGCAGCCATGTTTGATTTTAAATTTGTGGAGTTTAATTGTAGTTAAAATATGTGGAGAGAAATAGAATATTGCCTAATGAAGGCTGCAAAAACTTAGAGGCCAGAGAGATCTTTGTGATTGTTGGGAGGGAGTGATGGAGAGAATGAAATAACATTATCCTAGACAGAGGTATGGCTGACTGCCTGAAATCCTGAACAGAAGTGTATGTGCTGCAGCATTAATTTTCTTAATGGTAAAAGCAGATGATTTTCTTAACTGATTAATGTTCCATGTTCTACTAAATAAACAATCCATAATGTTCTTTTCATCCTTCTGACTATACCAAAGAAAAGGAACTCAAATAACGTAAAATGCTTCAATAAATTTTAACTATTTTGTAGCCCAGTTTAATGTGTGCTAATGAATATAAACTACTAATTTATATATTCAGATAAACCAAACCTACAGCCATTAGTATATATTTTATCCAGTAGGAGATTATTTCATAGTGCTTTAAAAAATTATTTGTTCTGTATGTCCTTTCTCTTTCCAGGACATCAGTTTCTTCCTATTGCGGCACAAGATCTTCCATTTGTTTCAGTATCTGGATATTTGGAAAAACGTAGAAAAGGTAAATTAAAAAGGTGATAGAAATAATACTTTAAATTTTTATAGTACTTGCAATCATTTTGTTTCCAGAGGCAAATGATTCACTTCGTTTGGAAAATATTGAAAGAATTTAACAATAATTAAAAATATAGGTGGAAATGTAATGAACATTTCTTGCTGGAAGTATAGCTTCGGCGTATCTGAGCACCATGGACAAGAGAAGTTGGTTGTTACTATTTTTATTCCATGCCCCATAATTTCAGGGATCATCACTGTTGTATTCGATGCAACACGATGAATTTATTCATTAAGTTTATATGCCATCCATCTCATTCTAAAAAGCAATTCTGGGTAGAGTACAATTAAAATAATAATTATTGAAATATTAACAAGATTAGATGTAAAACAAGAAAATCCAGAGCAAGAATGGCACAGTGGGTGGCATCCTCCCTATTAGTCCCCCCAGCCACCTCCAACATAAAGTGCTCCCAACAGGGCCTCGAGCCAACCAGCAGAGTCAGGTTTTAATGTTTTTCTGGAAGGCCAAACGGATGGGGGCAGATCTTGCCTTTGATGGCAAGATATTCCAAAGAGAATGGAGACATGGCAGAAAACTATCCTCCTAGAACCCATCAGCTGAAAATCTTTAACCAATGGGGTCTGTAGCATGCTCCTTATACTGAAAAAAAATGGGTTGTGGGCCAATCCATTGGGACAAGACAGTTCCTCAGATAACCTGGTTCCATGCTTTGTAGGTCTTTAAAACATGATAACCAATATCTTGAATTGAACCCAAAAGCAAACCGGCAACCAACTATCTGCTTCCTAAGCATATTTTTCTTGATTCCAAAGACAAGAAAAATGTCTTGGCTCCGTAATGTAGATCTTAGATTCAATTGCAATAGCTTTTCTATCATACCATTATTTCATCATAATTTAAAAAAAAACATATTCTGAAAAAGCACATTGTTCATTCAATGCTAAACAATAGATGCTGCTATTATTAGCTACATTCTTGAGCTACTAAGATCATGCATATCGCTAGAAGTTTATAAAATGAAAAATAATACCTTACAACAGTAATAATAATTTAGTGGCCCTGGTGAAAATGGAACATTTAAGAATTTTGAAAATGAAAAAAGGGAAATAATATGTATACAGTATATGCAACTTAAGCTTCAGAGCCTCTGATTTGGATATATGCATTCTCTTATGCATTATCATGTAATCATTCAAATGTAGAGTTGGAAAAGAACTAAAAAATCACAGCTTACCCTGTGCTCACAGTACAAGATCTCCTTAAACATTTCAAATATCTATGTAAGATCTGTTTGAAGATGTGAGAGAAATGTATCCGGGGTAAGTGCCAAAGTTGGTGAAGAATAATTTTTACTTTTGGCAGTCCTTGCCTACATTCATATTTGCACCAGAATGTATCTTTTCCATTGCACATCATGAATTGCTTATTTTGGTCGGTTTGTAATTAATAAGTTTTGTTATGTGTAAAAATCTGTGTGAATTATTTTAATTGCAGATCACAGTTTCCTTGGCTTTGAATGGCAAAAACGTTGGTGTGCTTTGAGTCGAACAGTCTTCTACTACTATGGAAGTGACAAAGGTATTGCAAAATATAGGTACTATTTTGAATGCTGCTGAATGGATATTAACAATTAACTGTTTGTATTGCAAAATATAGGGGTTATCTTGAATGTTGCTTAATGGAGATTAACAATTAAGTGTTTAGAGGCCTCAGGGGCCTCTCTATTGTTTAATTGCATACCGGATTTACGTGCAATTTTCCTGGCTTTCATATAATTCTCCGTGTGCTTCCAGATGATGTAAATATACTGTCTTGATGAAATGTTCTCTTATCTTCTTTCTTATTTCCTTTGGAATTATACATGGGTCTTTTTTTCTGAACTTTGATCAGCTTTCAAGATGTTACAGCATTATCTTGTTTAGTTTCCTTTGGTAATTTTTCCTTCTGCCACCACCATCATCTCAAATATGATTTCAGTATTTTGGATCTGTTAAGTATCATTAAGTTTCATTTGGTTCTAGCTGGAAATAATGAGAAACCGCTACAAGACATTCTGTATTGCTATAGGGTTTTATATTTAAGGTGTATTTCATTCCATGGTAAAACATTATTTTTTTAATAAAAATTCAGGTGATGTATCATATAGCTGGACAATCTGTTAAGAAAATGTTTCAGGATGATGTGCGTAAGCTGTCCAATGTCAAAAGAATCAAAGGAAAATTTATTTGCTTGTGATGGTTTAAAATGTGGATGCTACTGAAAACTTAGAAGCAGTTGAAATTTATATTACAAATACAATGTGGCAGTGTTCATCAGGGAGCACAATAGATGTTTTCCATAGCTTACTGTAGTTCTTTAGTTTCTTCCCCAGCTCTCCAATTTTCTGCCATTCACAATTTAATACTTAATAATGAAGGACAGCACTGGAATCCATATAACATCAATACTGTTACAGTCATTTCAAATCCCAGGATGTCAGACAAATGAATCAGTAACCTTTCTTTATAAACCATAGGAGTTTGGACCATTTTCAACGGCAGTCTTGGAAAAAGCAACATCCAACAGTTTATAGAAATGTATTGCTGGTAGATACTGTCCATTTTTGAGATACTGTCACTATAGTTTCACAGTTCCTTTATTTAGGAACACCATTTTGACCCTGTTCTACACCACAGTGAGAAAGTGAAAGTGAAAGAGAATCAGAACAATTACATTTACATCAGGGGTCTCCAACTCCTGGGCCACAGACTGGTACTGGTCCATTGCCTGTTAGCAACTGGGTCGCACAGTGGAGGTGAGTGACAGGCAAGTGAGTGAAACCGAAACCGTTCCCGCTCCCCGTGATGCATGGAAAAAAATGTCTTCCATTAAACCATTCCCTGGTGGCAAAAAGGTTGGGGACCGCTGGTTTACAGCGTATCTCAGACACTTCCTGTTCTCTTTTTTTTCTTTAATGAGTGGACTGGTTGGTTAACTAGGCCTAAGATAGAAGCTGTTGAGATAGCTTAATTCATGATGATTGTGAAGGAGTTTTGTCTCTGGTTTTGTCTCTGGTTGACTTCATTCTTCTTGCCATATATTTCTGTTATTGCTCATGGGAACAATTAAACTAAAAGCAAGTACAGCATGTTTAATGTCAAAACTCGCTTCAGAAAATGTGTGCAATTAGTGGTGTCTCCACTTACTGTTTCCATGCGGTTTAGAATATTACCATAGTTGTAAAAAATGCATTCCCAAATTATTAAGGGACTATCAGATCACTCAGAAAACCGAAACTTGTTCAACATATACTACTTTAGAGTACTTGATATACCTGTAATGGGATCTTCAGCACATAAAAGTCAAAATGAACTACAAATGAGGGTTTGAAACTTAACCAATACATGTACAACAAATTTAAATACAAAGATTTTAAAAAAAACACTAAAGAAAATACATCAAATGAAAAGGAAAAAAAAACCCCAAAATGTGCAAAAAGGAAAAAAAAGAAAGGAAAAGGGGTTACAAGGATTACAAGAATTTAATAAGAATCTTTTCCACGGGAAAATGCTTTGGTTTTGAATTCTTTTTTAACAAGTGATAGGATGAGATATTGAAGTGTGAAGTTTGGACACTAAAGGTAACCATAAGGAACTAGATATTACAATTAAATTTGTCTTACTAATACCGAGGGAAGCAAATTATTTTACTATTGGGCATATTGAAGGATATTTTTAACAATGGACTTGGAAAATAATAGTGTAGGTATAGTGTAGGTATATGTAGACTATGTTTAAAAGATGTTATAGAAGAGGAACAAGTTTTACTTGACAAGAATGAGATTGATTTGAAAGTGAACTTAAAAATGACAGCCTATAAGAATGATATGGACTAATATAAAAAAAGATACTGCACTGGAGAGACAAAAGAAATCGGCTAATTCTTAATAATTAAAAGGATTATATAAATAACAAGCCAAGAGAATTACCTGGATAATTTTCCTATGCTGAATTTATAAGAGAATTTGTTAAAACTTTGAAGAATTTTATAAAGAAAAAAATGAAAAGAAATCAAGTTCAAGGACATTATTTGAAGGGATTAAAAACAAAAGGAAGGAAGATAAAGTTGATTTATTTGATCAAAGTTAAAATAGATATATTGCTTATGGACTTTTGCTGATCGGGATTGAAAAAAGTCTTTAAGGATTGCTTATAGATAAGCAATATAAAAGATGAGATCAATTGGCTGTATTCTACAAGATTAATTACTAAACTTGTTTATGCTTGTTGATAAAGAGTGAATTCATTTCTTTATACATTTCTTTTTTCTTTACTATGGCTGTATTTTTTATTTCTTTTTTCTTTCTATTTTTTCTTTTCTGCAGCTTTTGTTTTTTCTTTTGATTCTTTTTTTAGTTTGCATTAGTTTTTATCCTCGCAATTTAAAAACTCCTGTTTAAAAAAGGGGTTTAACATGTTGCCAATTCACATTGAACAAATGGCACAATAAACCTGTAGCTATAGCTTTTCCATATTCAATTGCTTTGGTCACTAGGTGAAAAACACATTTACAAACTGCATCTGAAATTCACTTTTTGAATTCCGTTACTGGGGCAGGTATAACAGGGAGATCATCAAGTTCTTTGCTGGATCAGTAATTACTGAACCAAGAAGAGACACTGATTTATGGAAGACTTGTATTTCAGGTTCCAGGTTCCAGTTCTTGATTCTCTCTCCCCCCCCCCCCGTGAGGCATCAATGTGTGCACTTCACGCTAAATAAGACCATCTGTAAGGATCATCCTGTGGGATTCTATAAGCAGCCTTTTCAAAAATGTTCTTTGTAGTTTCTGCTTAAAAAAGAGTTTTATCTTTCAACCATCACTAAATCCACTCACAATAATGTTTAACTCAGTCTCTTGAATATTCATGAAACAGAAAAACAAAATCTGAATAAATGATAACCTGGTAAGACATTCATTTTCAATGTTGCAAATGAAATTCTATCTTTACCTTTCATCTACAACAGACAAACAACAGAAAGGTGAATTTGCTATAGATGGCTACACCGTCAGAATGAATAATACCCTTCGGAAAGACGGAAAGAAAGATTGCTGTTTTGAAATCGCTGCTCCTGATAAACGCATTTATCAGGTTGGAGTTTTTATGTTGTCTTGAAATTAAATTGATAAAACTGTTACTGTTCCAGTTATGGAGACATTAATATTTTGGTAAAACATTCCCTGACATGTTGGAAAAAGAGCCTGGCTGGGGGTGGGAATGGAAATCCTTTATTTTCTTACCTTGTAGATTCATATAATAGATTTTGCAAAAAGATTGTTCTAATACTAAATTTTTAGATAAGAACAGCTCATATGTCATACTTATCTGCTGGCTCATTTTACTGCTTACATTTAAGTATCTATTATCTAATAGGTTTGTCTGATTTCTTGAATTAATAATGTTGTAAAATAATTGAATATAAATTCTTCAATGTTAAATATGTATTGCATTGCTTAGAGGCCTAAGGGAGAAATCAAAGTTAAAAGTATGCAATGTGAGATCTATCAGCTAGGCATCAATGTGAAATGTAAGTTTAATAAGTTTTAAATATCTGAGATTGCAGTTGAAAGCCAGTTAATTAAGTTGTCAGGTACTATGTTGGAATGTGACAAGAACATTTTTAAGAAAACTGTACCCAGCAGTCTAAAGAAATTCATGGGTGTCTTCTAATTGTCAAGGGCAAATTTTGTTCATCAGTCCTGGTTTTGACATTGATGAAGAGAAGCAGCTTTTTTATGCACAGCTGCTGATCAGAGTTCTAAATCCATCATCCTCTGCTTCAATTACATAAATTTGTCAAAATTAACTGTACATTATAAGAAGCATCCTTGCAAGAAAAGTACCAGAAGACATGTAAAGAATTACTAATGGTGTCTTGAAGAAATGACCAGAATGCTACTTTCTTGGCTTTATTAATATAGTGTTGGTTATGTTTTGATGCTCATGATTATTTTTCTCTAAAATGAAATTTCTGAACAGTTTACAGCTGCTACTCCCAAAGAAGCTGCAGAATGGGTAGAGAGGCTGAAATTTGTATTACAAGGTATGCCAGTTGTTAACAAGACACTTTGCCTATAATGATGCTGGAAATCAAAACTTCCTTGTTTTTTCTTTGTTGATCATGTGATTATTGTGTTGTCATTAATAGTATATTTTCTTTTTCATCTATGTATATTTATGAAAGGTTAAGGAATCCTCTCTACAGTTAGGAGTAAGTGCCATTGTACCTAGTTGACTTCTGTTCCAAAGAAGCTTAAACAAAGTGTTCATTCTTAATTAAAGTGCTAGTAGTATTTGTATGTGAATTGTTTAATAAATACAATTAGAAGGGATGTATTGTATTACTTTGATATGAAAATTGAAGGATGTGAGCATATATTTTGCCCTAGAGAGTTCCTGGTGAACCTACCTGGCTAAGGTGACTGAATTTCTTTTCTATGTTTTGCATTTTTAACAGATATGGGATCTCCAACTATTCCAGAGGAGGAATATGATGACATTGAGGAAAATTCCATACCTCCTTCTCAGCCAGGAGTAGAATCTATAGCTGATGACATTTATGAAGAGCTTCCAGGTATTTTTGTTCCAGTTAGTTGAAAGGGCTATAAAAGTTGGTGATCATTCTTTGTGTGCTAGCAAGTAGAGTTTAAACAGATTTAATCAATCTGGTGCCCTCCAGGCATATTTCAACTAGCTAGGAATTCTGGGAATTGCAGTGCCAAAATTTAGAGCAAACAAGGTTGGAAAATGTTTTCTTAGATGGGGGAACAGAATGTAAATCTTACCTCTTGGACAAGTCCTGTACCTCTGTCTCAGTTCTGTATAACATTTGAATTCAGATATTTGTAACATCTGGAGTAACAGTAGTAACAATATTTAAAATAAAAGTTTCATATATGGGTATAGAAATTATAAAAATTATCTCTTAAAATTATTGACTCATTAATGTTATTTCTGAAATTCAATTGTTCAGTTAGAAAATTGACTTTCATATTGACTGACAGACTAACTGCCTTATTTGGTCATTTTTTTAAATTTAGTGTATAGTTTTTAATCACAAGTTTTATTCTTTCTATAATTGTCACCTATTCCTTGATACTTGAGATTATGTTTTTAAAGGAGTGACAAGGTAACTTGCTTTGTTTGCTTTTAAAGAGGATCTGCTGATAAATAATAAATAAAAGCAGTGGAGCTGTGCTTGAATTTTTCTACATCTATCTACAGAAATCAGATTATGCTAAGGTTTTTACTAATTTTTTTATCCGTCTAGTTATGGTCAAGATTTCCAGTTCTTGACAATAGATGTAAATCTCATAAAAAATATTCTTTATGGCTCATAGTGGTGAGACTCATTGTGGTGAAAACAAAATGGCAAGAGGGGGTTCATAAGAGTATAAAATCACATGGAAATGAGGTTTCCCTCTTAAGGTTGTATAGAAATGAGATCTTAAATAGAAAACTAAATCATTTCTGTACTAAATGTAATAGGAATGTAAACTGTAGTCATAGAAGGCACTGGTGTTATCAATCAGAAGCTAAGTGATACAGTATAAATTACATAAATGCATGTTACGTAGTAGGTATTTCCAATCTTTTGGAAAATATAGTTTGCATTAAATTTAGCATACTGTATAAGGAAAGGAGCTTACTGAAAAGCATTGTTTTTGACAGATGGCTTTAAGATGCTATATACATATTTGTCTATTCTGTAAAAGTTCCTTTTGTGGCTTTTGAAGACACATCAGTCAAGGGATATACAAATCACACAAAACAGGACAGAATTGTCATGTATTCTTGTTATTCCCCTTCTGGAATTAAGAATTGGCATTCTTTTAAGTAGGCAAATATTACCAACTTATTTGCTTATTCAAGGTTTTCTTTTTTTCCTTCTGTTCAGTCTCCATTTTTCAGAGACTGCTTGGACAGTCCTTGCAGTTTTCTCGACAAGATTTTTCAGAAGTAATTTGCCATTGCTTCCTTCCTAGGGCTGAGAGAAAGTGACTAGCTCAGAGTCACCCAGCTGGCTTTGTGCCTAAAGTGGGATTAGAACTCACTGTTTCCTGATTTTTACCCTGATGCCTTAGCTGCTATCCCAGACTGGCCCTCAATTCAAGTTGATATTTAAGCTGTAATTCCATAACTCTCTCAGAGTAAATCCCGTGGTATTTAAAGCAGATTTATATCTGTGTAGATATACACTGGATGTTTTATAAGTCTCTTGATGAGAAGAATGGAGCTGATTATGGAGCTGATTATGTGAAGTAGAAACTAAACTATTGATTTCTTTTATCAGTTAAATAAACCAATTTTCCCAATTGTAAACCATAACTAATGATGTTTATGCTATAAATGTCTTTCTTTTAATTAATATCCCCAATAGCATAGACGTCTACTGCCTTTGCTACAAGTCCCTTGCTTTCACTTGTACACTTTAACACTAGTAATTTTACAAATAGACTACCTCTGGGCTATCTTATATCTTGCTTCATTTTCTGACAACTAGCAGCAAACCTCTTGTAGACCCTTTCAAGCCTAATTTGGTTGTGAAGCATTTTCTACCTCCAGAGAATTTCTACTTCGTAAAGTGCATTGCACACCCAGCCTCCTTAATGTTAAAACAAGCAGTGGGATTCCTTAAGGGAAATTAAGAAGTAATTTAGGTTGGAATGTGATTGCATTGATGTATAAGAATTGCACAGAAGTGCAATACCAAAGCACAGTTACTAATCTACACTTATATACTGCAATGCAGTCCAAGATTGTAAAACTACATATTTCTAGCAGTACCTTGGGACATTGGGCTTTACTGAATTTAATCAGGTGTTTGCTGCAGTATCTGTTTTAGTGCTTTATATCTGGCCCATATCCCAAAAAAATAAAACCATGCAACTAATTCTGCACACCTAAGGGATTCCTGGCCCCTTCATTCTTAAACAGCAGCTTTGCCCTCAGTATCAGTTTGAATAGAAGTAAATTTCAGAAGAAGCTGCTGATATGGCTTATGAGAAATAGCATGGACTTTCATAAGCACTGATGTATTCAAGCCCCTGGGTGTACCTAAACATGTCTCTTCCATCTAATGTAGATAGTGCATTATTTGAAGCATAAAAAACATTATTATTTAATTCTAGAATTATTCATAAAAATACAATTTTATTTGCACCTTTGCAATTTTATTTACACATTTATTTAAGATCTCAACATGCTTTAGAACTCTGGTTCAAATAACACAGAAATTGTCTCCTTTATTATAGATTAGATCAAATTACATATATTCTGGGTTTATCTAAGCCAGGCATGTCAAACTGCCGGCCCACGAGCCAAATACGTCATGACGAAGCCGCGCCCACCCCATTGCCGGCAATGGGGGAAAAGTCGCAATACGTTGTGCGACGTCACGTGATGTCGTGAGTTTGACATGCCTGATTTAAGCAATATAGAGCTCAGCTAGTATAATCTACTATATGCTTGGAGAGAGTGCTATAAGCTCTCTTCTTCAGAAATTTCCCAGGGAGTATTACTTCACTGTTCATACTGACCTTTGTAAGATTTCAGCCCCAAACCCCAAATATCAGTAATAATTGGACATTGCTATCAGTCACAAGTGTAATAAAACTTGCGACATTTGCAGCTTCAGTTCCTAAGCATGTTTGGCTCCTAAGCCTTTTGTGCCTGACAAATCCAATGGTATATCATCTCCAAAAGCAAGAGTTTTGGGGTAAGGTTGATATAACAAGTCACAAGTCAGTGTGTATAGCTCACTCCTGCTTTCTAAAAACTTGAAGAACGAGAAGGCAAACAACTTTCCATTATGACACAGTTTTGGTTATTTTTTAAATTGTTAGCTTAAGATGAATTCATTGTTTCCTTGTATTTTACATTTGGGTCCAATATGAGTTTAATGTTGGCATCATGCTCTACATGGGAGCTATGCAAAGAACAGGATGTAAGGGCAGAGGGAGAGGGTGATGGAACATGAATAGGTCTTCTTCCAGCCTACCTGCATTCTTGGAATGCTGTTTGAACAAAATTCTCTTAAGTACAATTATTTCACAGCCAGGTTTACCAGCAGTTATTTTATATACTTTATTATATTACTTTTATGGTTTGCAGCCTGATATCCTGAAAAGTATTTGAAATTGTTGTCTCCAGTGCAGAAGCTCTCAATGTACATGCAAAACAACAGAGTAATAACAATCATAATATTTATACCCAAAAGACCAGGTAGTAGAAAAGATAAGGATAGTAATAATACAGTCATGCCATATGGGCAAATATACTTAGACATAAGACAGTGGGAATTAGGTGTTCAGCAGAGTGATGGTACGATGGAAAAAACCTGTCTATGTGTCTAGTTATTTTGGCATGCTGTGCCCTGCAGTGGTGTCCTAAGGGAAAGCATTAAAACAGTTTATGTCCAGGATGTGGCCAATGATATTTTTCAGGCTTTTCCACACATTTGCTAGTTCATTTGCTAAGAAGTGATTCTTCAGCTTTTCAGAGTAAGCTTCTCTTTGCTGCTCTGATCTCCCTTGTTAACACATTCCTGGCCTGACTGTAAAACAAAAACCTACAGTGCTACCTTGTTAATTTGTTCTAGGACGCACAACGAGTACCATAAGAGATGAGTACCAGCCAAATTTTTCCCATAAGGAATAATGTAGTGAATCACAAGACAGCTGACACTGACAAGTTCTAACTTATGAGTTGAGTATCAAACAAATGATGAGTACCAGGACAAAATTGAGTTGAGTACCAAATTCAATGAATTGAGTACCAAATTTAATGAGTTTCAAAGCAGTTGAATACCAATGTACCACTGTAAAAGAAACTGGAGCAATTTGGGGATGAAGTACAATGACTACTCTTAGGCTGTCCATATTACCTGAATTATAAAAGGAAGAGTGATTTTTTTTAAAAAAATGATTGATTTTAAATTGATTTTTTTTAAAAAAATCAGATGATATTTTAGTAAGTAGTACAGTATTGTGTTTGATTTAAAGCTGTGTGCAGAACTTGTGTTTCCTCAAAGATCCCCCATCCTTAGTTGCACTGGCTAAATGGGATTTGGCCTCCTGCTTTAAATCTTCTGAAGAGTTTCTCCTCTCTATTATAACTATTATAACATTGATTTTTGCATATTAAAATAGAAATTATTTTGGATTGTGCTATTTAATTTAGAAGCAATCTGTAATGAGAGGAACTACTAAGCATTATGTTTCCAAAATTTTGCTCTGGGTTAAAATAAGTAATAAAATAAGTAATCTCACTACTAATACTGATAATTTTTTTCCTGCTTTGAATCAGCCAACATGAAAGTAGTTTTGACATTGATTTGCAAAAGCAATATAAGATGGTTAAGTGAGAGATGTTGGATGCTGATGCAAGAATGAGAAACCAATGTTAGAGAATCTTGTCATGCTAGAGACACAAAAGTAATTTTACTTATGTTACAACCTTTTCATTGTTGACTTCATTTCTGGCAGCTGTTACTCTTTAAATGCTTTGCTTAGTCATGAAGGTATTATTCATTATGTATCTAGAGTATAATGTTTTGCTAATACTTAGGCAAAC